CTAGTTGGGTATTAGGAAACACTATTTCACTAGGAGGGTGGTGAAGCACTGGAATGCGTTACCTAGGGAGGTGGTGGAGTCTCCTTCCTTGGAGGTTTTTAAGGCCCGGCTTGACAAAGCCCTGGCTGGGATGATTTAGTTGGGAATTGGTCCTGCTTTGAGCAGGGGGTTGGACTAGATGACCTCCTGAGGTCCCTTCCAACCCTGATACTCTATGATTCTATGAGCATACAAGTGTTCTGCTGATAGGAGCCATGGATTTCCCACCAAGCGATCTCCATAGATCCTGACCTCCTTTCTCCTGCCCCTGGGATAACAGAGGTTACTGCAGGCCTAGGGCTCCAGTCACTCAGTACTGCTCCTGTATGAGGAAGGGAAAGAGATAGATGGTACCCTTAACCCCAAAACTATCTCCTCGTGGGAGGGTGAAAGGTGGGCTGTGTGGGGGGGGGGGGAGCCTGTTTCAAAGCCATTATCTAAGCAACCTCTTCTTGACCATGTGTCCCATTCATTCTCTCCAAGCTGTAATGCCATCTCCTCCTCACACTCCGTCAACTTGCTACCCTAACTGGGAGGCACTGCTTCCCCATATGCAGGGGTGCTGGAACAATTTATATAATGGGGTGCTAAGAGCCATTGATCCAAACTGTAAACCCTGTATATGATGGAAACCACTTCAAGCCTGGGGGTGCAGCAGCACCCCCAGCATCCCTAGGTCCAGCACCTATGCCCAGATGTCTTCTTCCAGCACTCTGATTTCTACCTTTGGCAGTCAGGACAGTTGCAGGGAAAGGAGAGGAGTCAAGTGTGCAAAGGAGTTTGTGGTGGGGCCATGAGACCATGGAGCATAGGCACTATGCAGCTGCATCAGAGAGAGAGAGAGAGAGAGAAAAACACCTCTCTCAGGGTCTATGGAGTTATATTTAACTGCAGAGCCTGAGTGCTCTGCGCACCAGCTGATGGCTTAACACCAGGATTTGGTTGATGGTATTTTCATTTCTGAGAAGTAATATTTTGTAGAAGAAAATAAGGGAGTATTCATTGGTGAACCAGAAAGAATGAAATATTTTTTTTTAGAGCAAGGGTGAACTGTGCACATCACCAGATTAAGAATGTTCACTTGGAAATAGTGTAATAGTCTGAAAGATTGCCTTTGATTACTACATTGTTTCATATACTGCGCAGAAGTCTGTGGAATAAAATTCTGCATCATGGTGCTAAATAAACAGCCTAGATAAACTTCACCTCATTTTGTGACCTTGTAGGATTATTATTTTATTCCTAGATTGCCGCGTGAAACCCTGCACAAAGCAGCTGCACCTTACCCTGGCTCATAAGTTTTATCCTCACCATCAAAAGACTTTGGAACAATTGGCCAAATCTATCAGCCCGGGACAGAGCTGCCAGTGGACAGCTGCTCTGTATTCTAGAGATATGCGCTTTGTAAATTACCAGGTACAGCGTTCAACATTACTGAGTCTTCTGTAGTCATGTATTTAAAAGCAGATTTGTTTTTTATTCATGAAAAAAATATGCATGCATAACTCATAGTTTCAGTATACATTACAATGCAGGGTGCTTCTTTTGGCTGAAAAATTGTATTCTCAAATCAGTGGAAGATAACTGTGTGACATTGTATGGCTGTTGATATGCAGACCAATCAGATCTAATTCCAAACTCAAACAGGAAAACTTAATTTTAGACTATTATGGAGTGTGAACATAAGAAGACAGAAAATAAGCAAGAAATATTTGGAAGTACCATCATTCTTCCAGGCAGATCACTGCATAACAGTAAAAACATAAGTTAGTTGACTGTACCTACCTTGGAAAAACATGTAAGGGCTGAATACCCTAATGTAGAGCATGACTATATCCCTGATGATTTTCTGCTCAAAGGATTCTTGATTAAAATTGGTCAACATTTTTCAACTTTTCAATGAAGTTTTTTCATTAAAAAGTTTAAACTTTTTCATGACATTTTCACCATTTTTCAACCAGATCAGTACAGCATATTATTATTTGAATTACAGTAGCATCTCAGAGCCCTAGTCAAGGACCAGGACCCTATTGTGCTAGGCGCTGTAAAAACCAAGCACAAAGACAGTCCCTGCCCCACAGATCTTACAATCTAAGTATAAGACAAGAGATAACAGCCCAGAGTGCAATACTATGAAACTTACAGTGTGATTTTTTTTTCATATGCCAAATAATTGTAAATTATGGAAAACATACCTACAAATATTTCTATCTTTTTTAAACTATTCTACACTTGTTACAGAAAATAAGATTTTTATGAACAACAAATGTCTATTTTTATATATATTATAAGAGTCCACTACACTCTTTTTCTCTATGATAAAGAAAAAAGACATTAAAGAATAAGCTACAGTATAAAAAAATAGAGAAACAATTTATAGCGCACAGTTAAGCAGCTCTTCTCTGAAATGCTCCATCACTTATAACATTAATGTTCTGGAAATAAGACCTGACATGCATTTGAAGACGTTTCCTTTTTTAATCCCCCACCAGATCTTGCAAGCACTCTTCCAATACAAGCCTCAGAACATTGATGAGCTAATGCTGAATACTGGAGATTTGATATATGTTGACCGATCACAACAATCCGATGTTAGTGATGGCTGGGTGATTGGTACCTCGCACCGGACTGGCTGCAGAGGATTTCTTCCTGAAAATTACACAGAAAAAGCCAATGAGTCAGATACTTGGGTTAAACACAGGTTAGTAAAACTCCTCTCCGTAATTTCCGGCGATGTACCTATATAGTACTGTTCTATATTCACTCCCTTGTATACTATAACACAGTGATAGAGGTCTTTTGACCCACCCTGTTGGTAGGTATTGGAACCCTGCAAAGATGCTGATTGATTCTTGCTGACCCATTACAGGAAGTGGGTGCCTTAACACTACCTGGGAAATAAGGAGGTCAGAGTGGTTCTCTGGGCAGAGCTGGCATAGGGTCTGATACACAACATAGCATGCAGTGTACACATTTATAGTATAGTGGCATCCACAATTACACAGATTAAGCAAGTGAGCATCCACAGTCCTCAAGGAGGAAACAGGAGAAAGGGGATTGGGGAGGGGGAAGGTTTGCGCTTGGAATTTATGTCATGCTGTCATTAGTTTATTGCGTCTGACGAAGTGGGTATTCACCCATGAAAGCTTATGCTCCAATAATTCTGTTAGTCTATAAGGTGCCACAGGACTCTTTGTCACTATTTATTAGTTTATTTGTAATTAAGCCAAGCTGCAGGAAGTTTAATTTTGACCCTATACAGCGTGTGGATGAGTTGTGGAGCTCTCTTTTCCTTTCTTTTCTTTTTTCTACTCTTGTTTTCTCTTAGTTCTCTCTCTCATGCCATTCACTATATCCCACCTTTGCCTACATAACTTAACAAAACAAAGACAAACAAACAAACAGAACTAGAGACCAAGCCTTTCTTCACATTGTGTGTGGGATGCCTCCTTTCCCCCATATTTCACCTTCGTTTTTGATCTTTAATTTTCTTCAGAGCAAGAACTATGTCAGCTTATATGTTTGGAAAACATCTAGGATATTTTGGTTACTATCTCATCTAAATTCATACATAATAACTGTACAATGTACATCAGTTAAATATAGATGACACGAGACCTCATAAGGAAGGAAATGAAAATTTAAGGCATCCGACAGTACCTACCTTCTACTCTTCCACCCAAGGAGAGACTCCTCATTTCTAGAATAACTATTGTGCGTCACAGATATTGCATCACAGCCTTAAATCTGCCGCAGTAAGGATGTCAGCCTTCCAGTTCCCCCTTTCCTAAAATCTCCACAACACACAAACACATCAGACTCCTTCATACACACACATACCCCAGTATTGCTTCTACACAGTTTAGTGAAAACACGTAGGCACAAAGCCTTAGCTGATACACACCATAGTGTTCTTGTGTCCGAATTTCCCTGGTTTTTTAATGTTAGAAAGGATCTCCAACATCGTAGTGGCTCCGGGACACTTTCAAAGAGACCCTGTTTTTCATGAAAGGGGAGCCACTGCTAGATGGTGAATAAAAAATTTAATGTTACTAGCCAGTGACTGAAGCACTGGGGGCGGGGAGGGTTTGGAGGCGGGAGGTTAAGATTTTATTAACAACCATAGGAAATGAAAAACTGAGATTCAAGGGAATTCCTTTGAAGTAAAAAATATTTGTCAACTAACATTGTGATGGAGAAAAAACATTATGATGAATATTTTTCATAAATCAAAAATAAATAATAAACTTTACAAGTAACCACTCTCTTCGATGCTGTTATAATGTACAAGTGGGCCAATGTTCAAGCGCCAAAAATCAGTAATAAGTTTGGCAAGAGATATCTGAAACATTGAGACACAAAATCTAAACTTTCTTAAATGGCTGATATTTAATTAATTATAACTCAAACTAATTAACATTTTTAAAATTCATAGAAAACTTTATATCACTGAACAGATTACGTACTGGAAATCTGGTGAAGGTGTACTGTATTCTTCATATAAAACAAAGAGGCCGAACCCCTGCTTTAAGTGAAAAAGAAGAACCCATCCTTAACCATGGTAGCACTATTACATCTCCATACTAATAATAATTTAGGTACCTAATAGTTTCACTGAATCTGCATGAATGACTTTAAATTATCAGTTTCAAATACACTTATATTTATATGAAATTCAAAATGTTATTGTACAGGAAGGTCTGGCAGGATATCTTAGAATTGGTTTTTGTGACATGGACCGAATGCTAGTAGAAAACAAAATCCAGGTTCTTTCATGCTGTCTTCATTGAGCATATTATAAGATGGAGAAATCCATAGAGACCCCATGCATAGAAAAATGTTGGAGATTCTATAGCTGAAGTTCTCATGTGAACACATCTTTTGGAGCTATTAAAATATAGACAAGGATCATCTTTCAGGAATTTCTGCTAGCAAATCTTCGGTTAGAGGGGGAACACACCCTGAAGAATGCTAACTAGAGCTGTGCCCTCCAGCCGCCCTGGTATGACTCCTCAAACTGCAGGGTCTCTAGCATGCAGAATTTTTGCATGAGGGCTTCCATGGACTTCAGGGCAGGGGACAAATATGCACTGGAACTGTAAAGTCTCCCACTTCCATGCTCCCTGTTGCATTTACTCACCAGAGTTCCCCTGTGCCTGTGTCACAGAAGAGGAGTGTCTGTCCTATCAATTCGAGAGTTCATGAGTCTCTTTCATGAGTGCAGAGACCAATTTGTGTCTTATACATAAGTGATTGTTGCTCAGTTATAGTCACTCTACACTGAAATTTGGAATTCAAAGCCTCAACCCAGGAACACTTTTCATACCAAATTTGGCGTGAGTTATTTTTAGAGGGCTTAGGAACAATAAAATAAAAGGATTGTGGCTGCAGATGTTTTTGGTTCCTGTGTAACTTAAAAATCTTAGTGAATTTTAGAAGAAAATATTCTGCAATACAGATTGGCCCCTTGGCCTATGTTCTGCTTATTGCATCTTCTTTCCTCTTGTTTTTCATTGTTAGAGGTTACAGTGCTAATTAGAAATGAGGAAATGTGGAGGCTGCTTCCCCACATAGGTGCCACCTTGATCTTGATGATTTTACCTCATTTCAAAAGCATCTGCCTCTGCGCTGCATTTTGCTCTTTAGTTGCAAGCTCTGCAGATGGTATTTATAGATAAGAGCTTAGCTTTCTACACAAAAAGCTGCAAAACAGTCCTTGCTGTATCCTTGAAGGGAGGGAGCTAACTGTGTACCATTTCCTGTTTGACACATTTCAGAGGGTTTACACGCTCTCCTTGCCATTAATTAATATCTGTTTAGCATTATATGGGACAGTTCGTAGTTCAGAAACAGCATGGTATGGTAACTGTATAAAATAATTTGGCACAGGAAGCATACCCATGGACTAAGAACTCACTTATGTCCCTCCTGGAGCTACACAGTCCTTAGATCTGACTATGTAGGAAAAGCAGGTCTACTCACCTACTTGTTCCACCCGGGGCAGGTGGGTGGGGTGGGATGAAGCCTTAACCCCACCACCCTTCACTCAATGGCCAAGTAGCTGAGCCAGCATGTGGGGGACATGAGCTCTAGTAATTTGGCGCTGGTGTAGACCAGCAGTAAATTACTATTCACCAGGGGAAAGGAAGTAGGAGGAGATTTTTTGTATTAGATAGGTGTCTCTTCAGGAAGCACAATCCTCCTGCAGTTATACCTGAGGTGTGCAGCTTAGGGCTTGTCTACATGGCAAGTTACTGTGCGGCCAGCCAGGGTGTGAATCTGCTGCGCACTAGCTTGCTGTACAGTATTATCCTGTCTGGACACTGCTATAGTGCACTGAAAGCCCCACAGTGCGGTTCGGCTTAACCCACTGTTCATGTGGTTGCCTGAATCACAAACTAGCTGACTGGAAGGTTTGGTACAGATCTGGCTTTACTGTAATTTGTGAGTCAAATTTTTTCAACATTCATTCCTTGTACTGAGACTGCAGTTAAAAATATATACATATGGCCCAGATCATCAAATCTAGTCTATTGGCCAATTTATTCAAGGGAGCAGATTTTTTAAAATATACATGTTTTGGGGATTTCAAGTATTAGAAAAGCGTAAAAGTGCATCTTCTGAAGTCTCCTTGGTTGGCACATTATTATTGCATCCCTTCCCTGGGGCAAAATTGCAATGTTAGGCTGAATATTGGGTGAGCCTTAGAACCATATAGAGCCTGATCCAGTACTGAAGTCAGTGGAAGTGTTCTCATTGACTTCAGGAGGTGCAGAATGTGCTGCCTTCCCACCCACCACATGCTTGTACCAGTTCACAAGATGACAGAGGTGGACATGTGGAAGCTGCTATTTTAACCTTCATTGAATGCATCTGGTATGACAGTGTTGTTATTGTTATGCTGAGAGGTACTAGTGACTGCATCATTCAGAAACCTCATTGAAATTGGGTATGAATGCCCCCCTCTTTGAATGTAACTGTCAGGATGAATTAATAAGAAGCATCCCAACACAGGCCATGTCTACAACACTGCAACTGTGTCGCTGTAACACCATAATGTAGCTGCTTCCTACATTGACAGGAGGGGTTTTTCCATTGATGCAGTTAATCCACCTCTCTGAGAAGTGATAGCTAGGTCAGTGGAAGAATTCTCCCATTGACTTAGCAATGTCTACACTGGGGATGGGGGGCTAGTTCAAACTTACTGTGGTCCTCCAGGTGCAAAATTTTTCAGTCATGAGTGACATAACTAAGTTGATCTAATTTTTAAGTGTAGACCAGGTCTAAGATAAATGGGGGTTGTGAACCTGCCCAGGAGTTTGGAATGAGAGGACAGAAGGGGTTTGCTGAGTATTGTTTGTGTTGTGCGTATGAGGGGAGGGAGAACAAACAGAACAGAAGGAGAGGCAGAGGCAAAAAGCAAGAAAGCCAAGTAGTAGCGAGTGAGTACAGTGTGACCCAGATAAAGAGAGCTTTGGGGTCTGTTGGCTGAAGAGGCTTGGGGATATAAACTAAGAAACAGCTCCTTTTGTTCTTGGTTTCTCCTGTGTTCAGAGAAGCAGGACTTTGTACATTCCTTGTACATAAACAAGACTGCATCAAAGAAAATACTAGACTCCATCAATTCTACTTTGAGCTGGAACATGGCCAGGGCCCTGAATTTTGACTAGTCACGTGGGTCAAAAAGGGACAATAGTAGTA